GCACTGGATATTTTTCTTGTCATTTATGTAAATAGAAAACGTAGCATACTGATTTAAGAGATCTGTCATTCATCCACTTATGCAACCAATGTTTATTCAACTCTTTTATGTATTAGCCATGGTTCTAGAAGCTACAGAGACTGAAGAAAACAACGTCCCTTGCCTCAAGGGGCTTACATTTTGGTGTGAGGAGAGAGGCAGTAAAGTACATATATGAAATGTTAAACACTCGCGAGTGCTTTGGAGAAAAATAAAGCAAGGTAAAGACTGTAGAAGGGTCAGGGGAAGCAGAGTTATGATTTGAAATAAGTTGAGAAGGGCAAGCCTAACTTTGAGGCAATGAGCAAAATCTTGAAGTGGAAGGAAGGGAGTGAGTGAGTGTCTAAGGAAAAAGCACTCAAAGATTTGAACAATCCATCCTAAGGACTGAGTTGAGAGCACACCTGGTGGGATCAAGGCTCAGCAAGGTGGGTGGTGGACCCAGAGAGACGTGAGCAGGAGGAGGAGTGGGATGAGATGAGGTAGGAAGCAGTGCTGGTGGACGCAACTTGTATAGGGCTGTGTCATCAAGTGAAAGGACTCTACCTTGTTCTGTGTTGGTTGGGAAGCCATTGAAGGGTTGTGAGCAGAAGTGTGGCATAACCTGACTTACGTTTGAACNACCTGCAGAGACCCTGGTTGTTGGAAAGGTGCCAAAATGACTTCAATGGGAGAACAAGGTAGTTAGGCCCCAGCTGCCACCACACTATCCAAGCAAGGTACTTACTTCTTGTCCCAAGAGGGCTGCCTCTGGGGAAAGAGGGTGTTTGATTGCCCTCTACATTCAGCCCTTTGCTTTTTGGACTGAGTCATCCCCGAAGAGTGCTATGTATAAGTTGGGCTATTAGATGTCATGGAACATAGAACAATCCTGAATGAGTAGCATGATCAATGCTCAGTGATCAAATGCTGTTTATGTAAGAATCCCCTAGAAAGAAGAATCTTAAGAGTCTGGCTTGTAAATGTAAAGATAGAAGATCTGTTTCAATATGTGACAAGAGGAGATCAGTCTCATGACCTTATACTCACGCTGCATCTTTTCTATAATACCTGGCTTCCTTGGCTTTTTGTTTTTGTTTTTAAGCTCCATACCACACACTGAAACCTGTATTATGAATTGTATATTACCAAGTCATAAATGTGCCATAAGGATAGAGAGCCCATTCTATAACAGTTGGAATCATTTAAAGTTAGTCTGCTAGATTTAGTTATGAGATTTTATTTTTGTTCCCAAAGTTTAACAGGTCCTTGCTTGGTGGCATTCAATTAAATGATTTCATGAAACTTTTGTAAACGGATTGCTTCTCGATCGTTAAGAACCAAGCCTAAAACTCATCTAACTGTGAAGACTTAGATTTGTAGATTAATCACGTTCTACAATAGGTTTGCGAGTTGAGTGACAATGCACTTGAACAAAAATTATCGGCATTTGAGAATTTCTTTATATACCTTAGCTGTAAAAATGAGGACGCGTCGGTTGGTTTTAAAATCTGGTAACTCCATGATGAAAAGAAATTTATTTTATAAGTGTTATGACTCTAATAAAGTATTCATTTGGTAATCTTTTTCACTCATCTATTTTTTATGTAATTCACTTTAAAATTCAGTTAAAGGTTTGATATAAACTTGACATGCGTGGAACTTCTAGTCTCATAAAAAAGAGTTCTGCTTTAAATATTTCTACATAAAAGGTAGTCTCTCAGGAAATGTCAGTAAATCTTTTTTTCTTTGATGAAAGTCTAAGAGGTAAGTCTTTGGAAGTAATATTATAACGGAAGTTCAATTACATTCTATTTTATTTAAAAAGCATTTATATACTGCTTGATGTATGCCTGGCAGTACTCTAAGCTTTTTTCCCCCAAATATTAGCTCATTTAATCCTCATCATCACAACTCATTTTAAAGATGAGGAAGTAAAGCACAGACCTTAAGAAACATCCAGGAACATGTACCTAGCAAGTGGAAAAGCTGGAATTGAAACCCCAACAATCTGGTTCCAAGGTCCAGGCTCTTAATGGCTATATATCCCTCTGTTTTCCTCAGATTTTACATAATTTATATATCCAAAAATGTGACCCTTTTTCCCCCCAGAGAAGTTTTTGTCGAAATGTTTAATCACATAATTGTTTGTGGTAGATGTCATCTTTTAAGGCTTCTCTTGTTGTAACCAAGGACTCAGCTTCCACATCCTCTGGGGATAAGGAATCCCAAAAATGAGGACAATATATACTACTTGTTTCTTTGCACCAAATATACACATAGCTGGTGCTAAAGAAATCCTCATTGAATACTAAGGACAGTAACTCAGAGCTGAGTGCAGACTTGGGGACTATCTCCCACCCCAAAACAATGATTTATTTCTTTGGGTTTTCTTTGCTCAGTTCCTAAAGTCACTTTCCATTGTCAGAGAAATGATTGACTACATCCTCAAGGCCTGATAGCTGCATTTCCCTTGGCCATGAGACCACTGTGTGAACAGACACCCCATCATGAATTTCTGAATACCCTTTTGGGGGATCACAAATATTTAACAAGTGAGTCCAGAATGTGAACAAACGCTCAACCTAAGGCTGTTGACAAATGAGAAAATTATTAGGAGTTAGAATCTTTAAAAGAAGGTTAATGGCACGAGGGGATAAAACTGTAGTACACATCTCTAACAAAAAAAGGATGAAAATAAACCATTTTCATAAGTGTTGATGTACGAGTATGTTCAGGTAGGTTAGTGGGTCTTTAGATAGTTGCTTCTTGGGGGCGAGTGCTTTCTTAAAGTCAGTGTTATAAATCTGATGAGAATTTTTGTTTGTTTTTTTCCTTAGATTTTTGCCTTTGTGACGACAGCTTGTTATGGTTGCAGTTTGGCTCTGGCTTTAC